AATTTCCATATCACTGAATTTGATTAAGTCTTCAGGCATCAAAACGCTTAAAGAAATATCACAACTTTATTGGAAATCTCAAGAACTCGGTTTTAACAATATTTCTAAAAAGAAAAATTACATTGAATATTGGGGGAGACCTAAAGTCCCTATTACATTCTAAATACATCATCATCAAAATCTATAATATTTTTCCCAACAATTACCTTCTTCTTAGTAACCAACCTCTTCATGAGTTTAGTCCGAATCATCTCCAGCATGATAAGAATGAATTTTTCTCTTGCATCTAATATGTACTTGTTGAAGGACTCACACAAGTTATTTGTTAACATGTCACATTTGGGGAAAGTGTTGAACTATTCTACCCTAGACCAGTTCTTCGTTGGCCTTGCTTTCAACCACTTCCTTTCCTCTGGACATTTCTCTTCAAGAACTTTTAAGCACCCCAACAACCTAGCTGGATAAGAAGCCCTGGCACAATCTTAGAGTAAGTCTTTTAACTCTGTCCCCTTGAAGTGATTTCTATAATTGGTATATAAGTGTCTCACACACATCCTATGCTCTGCCTTTGGGAATAAACTTGCAATCCCGCTTACAAGGCCCTAAAATATTAATATGAGGTCAGTAATCAAGCAGAAGACAATATTTTATACATATTACACACAAGTTTATAATGTTATTATACCTTCTCTTTGTCACTCATAAAGCAGAATACATTATCTCTTTGAAGGTCCAAGTCATCACCAAGCAGTCGTAAGAACCATTACCAATTTTCAGAGTCTTCAACCTCACACACTGCATAAGCTAAGGGGAAGATACAGTCATTAGGATCTATGCCCACAGCAGTTAACAGTTGGCCCCCATAGTTTGTCTTCAGAAAACAACCATCCAAGCACACCAGTGGCCTGTAGTGTGCTTTGAATCCTCTCTTCAAAAGTTCCAAGCAAATGTAAATACCCTTAAACCCCCCCCCCCCCTCATTCCTCTTCAAGAGTATTGTAGAACCAGGATTGGTCCTCAACAACTCTAACCTATAATTCAGCAGCTTTTCATATTGAGCCTCTCATCCCCATGAATAATTTTCAGGGCTCTATCTTTTGCTCTCCATGCCTTCATGTATTTAATGTTGTACTGCCAATCACTGACCACTTTAGCAATTAAGTGACTCAACTACCATGCTGGATTCAGCCTAAAATCCTCCAAGTACTTCTTAGCTAGCCATGAAGAGGTGCAGTGATTGTTTTTGTGCATCCACTACTACAAAACAGATATTTAACAACGCATTTTACACAGCGGATAATTCATAACCGTTGTCTTTTCCTTTAGGGTAAATAAGTCTCGCGCACAACAAGAAAATTGAGCATCAAATTTTTTTCCGGATGCTTTCCCCAGCGGATAAAAACATATCTGCTCTTAATTTCCACTTGAATATAATTTAAGGACTACTAGAAATTAAACTTCAGCTCTATCCCAAATCACGTATACTTTCGCTGCGTGAGAGACGACGCCTCCATCTCCCACAGACGCCATCCAGCGATCGACTCCATCGCCGCTGCCAAATTTTCAGTTCATCTCTTCTCGCTGGCATTTGTAATAGAAGAAACGCATATCTCCGGCCGGACGATCTCAAGAGGAAGCTCCTGACAGCATCTCAGATCTCTCAAACCCTAGGCTACAAACTCTCATAAAATTAAGGTTAGGGATGCTCTATTTTCTTTACTTCTACTGTGAATTTGCTCTCTCAATCTTCTCTATGTCGAATCTCCTGTAAGAACCCTTTCGATTGACACGGCCTATGAATCATTTCAATTTCTTGTTTGTGCCATTCTTAGTGGTAGAAGTGTGTTAATCGATGATTTCAGTTTGATTCAGTTTTGATTATGTAAGGTTAGATCCGTTTTGGATTCTCTGTGAAATTAGGATGTGTGGTTTTCAAACTCATGTTTCCCTGAATTCTGAAGTTTTCATGTGGCGAGTGTTTTTTCAGATATGCAGATTCTGTTTATGGAATTGTGCTTGATGTTTAACCTTGTAAGAATTGCATTAATTGAGCAGTATATGACTAAAGTGTTCAGAGTAGAAATCTATGCTTTTAGATGATAAGTTTTGAAATTGGACCTTCTTCCTTCATTTCTGAATGCCATAGGAGTTTCAGTATTTATTAAGTATTTCTGAATGCTGTAGATGAAGGTTTAGTTGAGGTGTCTTTTTCAGTCCCATCAGGGGTATCCCCTTCCTCAGCATCATTCCCCATATTATCTACAACAAAGTCCCAATTCTCATTTAACCTCATGTTGGCCATATCATCCAAATTGACATCTAAGTTTGCATTTCTCCACCCATTTAAAGAATCTAAGCCCCATTTCTCATTTACACCCCCATCTGATGAAGAAGGCACATCAGAATTCAGGCCCTCAACAAAATAATCTCCACAGTCAGCCCTTTCATTTTGTGATTCATTGGCAGCAGTGTTCGCAACATCATTCACAACTCCATCAGTGGAAAGTGGCACTTCAGATACATTCTCAACCATCTCTTCTACCCTTCGATTTATCCCCTCAGGTACATTCATTGAATTTGGCTCATTTACAACTTCATCACTACAAAGAGGCACATCTCAGTTCACATCCTCAACTATCTCTTCTACCCTATCATTTATCCCCTCAACAATGTTTTCAGATCTCTGTTCCTGCTCCACCCCACATATAGCTAGCACACTTCCCACAAAACTTCCTCTGGCCCCCATTCTGTGAGAAGGTATTGATGTGTCATCCTCAAGTTCCTCTAAAACAAGCCTAGGTTTGGGAGCACTTTTAAGATCATTAACTATCTTCAATATTTCTTCTTTACCTATGTACTCGATGTATGAATGAACTGACCCGTAAAGACTCCCAGCCCTTGACATTCTTGCAACATCTTTATTAAACTGTAGAGTGTTCAGACCCCCTAAAAAGGCTTTTTATGTTCCCTCCAGTAGTACCTACATAACCCCTTAATTCCATTTCTAGCCAGGAACCTATTTAGGGTATTCATTGTCTATCTCCTGCCAATTATATCCCCTACCAGAAATTGTTTTCCGTCGTAATACGAACATTCTCCTAACACCCCACTATGATGCACAATTAAATAATAAACCCCAATCACTTCACTCTGTGAATCATCTTCACTCTCACTACTGCTTTCGCTGCTTTCTTGGCTGAGAATGAAGGTATCTGAACTCGCTTCACTATCATCAGAATCCCTCATCGCTTTAATATCTCTGCACCAAATTGAAATAACACAAAATAAATATCTTCGGATGATTCAAACATTCATCCTATTCAAAACCAAACACATGCAAATACCTCAAATGTTCGAAACTTCGCGTTTCTGCGTTGTCAGGTTCACCCTCGATCGTATTTCGTCTAATCCAAATTTCAAACCTAATTAGTGGACTGGAGAAGAAGAGATTCATATTGACAGCAAACCGCTGTCGAGGATGAGCTTTTTGCTGTAATTTGTGGCACGTTGGGTTTTTTGCCGAAGAGACGATTCAAATATTTGGTGTCAGATTCGTACCAGAGCAGTTAATGAGGAAAGAGAGTGAGGTAGGGGAAGTGATTCAGCATCCATATCAGCATCCACGTCGGATGGTAACCGGAAATTAAACTAGAAACGGGCTAATGGACTTTTAGTGGAAGGAATGTGTAAGTTGAGGAATTTTTGTGAAAGGATTTGAAGTTTAGGTACCACTTTGAAATTTCAGCTAAAGTTCAAGTACCATTGATGAAATTTACCCTAAAAATCGACCAAAGAATTTGTGAAAAAAAGGGTTATGACCCTTAAGAGTTGTAAATACTCGTAAATCGGGAGAGGCAGGGCAGGTACCCGTTAGAAAAGTGCAGTGGCATAATCGATATTCCTTATAACTAGAAGGGCTAACTAAGTTGAATGGTTAAACGGCTAAAATTTGAAATGAATATTCATCGTTTATAACCACAACTCAAACTCCCTCCCCAAATCCCACAACTTGAGTGTCTTCAGATATATTAATACGAGTACTTTCCACTTCCCAGAGAGAGAAAGTTTAAACAGTGTGTCGGGGTACACTATAATGACGACGGGGATGGTAATGGTGAGAAGAGGCGGCGGGGGCGGCGGAGTAGGCGAGAGGAGCTCGCACGGCGGCTCATCCAAAGAGCAGAACCGCCACCAGCAGCAGCAGCTCTCGCTGTTGGATTTTCTCATGGAAACGCTGAGAAAATCGATGGTGTCTTGCCGGGTGAATCGGGAAGTGGATGTGATATCCACCATTCATCGTGCAATGGAAATCGGTTGGCCCACAGACGTCCAGCACATCACCCACGTCACGTTCGACCGTTTTCAGGGCTTTCTCGGCCTTCCTGTTGAATTTGAGGTTGAGATCCCCTCTAGGGTGCCCAGTGCAAGGTTTGTCAACAGTATATATTTTGCCTGTTTTCAAGCTTTTTTAATTGTTATTATTACTATATGCCGAGTAGATCTGAGCTGATGTTATTAGAATGGGTTGAATCTTTTTTTTATTTGGTTGGAGGGGTAGGGGAGGAGGAAACAATTTCCAATCCCTCTCTCTCCTTAAACCCAGCACAACTTGAAGGTTTAATTGGGCAATTTTGTACATTAATTATGAAATGAACCTCATTTAGGTAAAAGTGGGTAGGTGACTCCTGATGAAATGGTAAAAACAACTTTAGGAGGAGAGTATGGGGATGTAAAGACTTGTAGTATGGGGCTTAGGAGTCAACACAAACCAACTGCATTGAAACTGAATGATTTCCTTCATTGGGAGTATTATTATTCAAACTGGAAAAGTTCAATAATTCCCTGCCTAACGAATTACAGTTGTGTGTCTATACATCCCATCTTTTTTTTTAAATCGATCGAATAAATCTTGTGATCAAAACTTAATTGCAGCATCAGTGTGTTTGGTGTCTCAGCAGAGTCGATGCAGTGCTCTTATGATAACAGAGGGAATAGTGTCCCAACCATTCTCTTGTTGATGCAAGAGCGCTTGTACTCGCAAGGTGGTCTCAAGGTATGCAAATTAAAAGTGTCTGTTTGAATTGCATATATTTAGATCTTCCAGTCTCTCTATAACATAAAATCTTGACATAGAAAATTAATCAATCCTGTATATGTGTGTGTGTGTGTGTGTGTGTGTATAGGCAGAAGGCATTTTCAGAATAAACCCAGAGAATAGCCGGGAGGAGCATGTAAGGGACCAACTAAATAGAGGCATTGTGGCGGTGGACATTGATGTACATTGTTTAGCTGGTCTTATCAAAGCCTGGTTTCGTGAGCTCCCATCTGGTGTGCTAGATGGATTGTCACCCGAGCAAGTTCTGCAGTGTAACACAGAGGAGCAGTTTGTGGAGCTAGTGAAGAAACAATTGAAGCCAACAGAGACTGCATTGCTCAATTGGGCAATTGATCTAATGGCTGACATAGTTGAACACGAGGAGTCTAATAAAATGAACTCCCGGAATATTGCAATGGTTTTTGCTCCAAACATGACTCAGATGTCTGATCCCCTCACTGCTCTAATGCACGCAGTCCAAGTGATGAATCTGCTCAAGACCCTAATAACAAAGACATTGAGAGAGCGTGGTGGGGAGTCCTCCTCAGCTGGAGGATACTCACCCATGTCGTCTCATTCGTCTGATGATGGTGATGAATATGACACTCAAGAAGAAGAAGAAGAAGAAGAAGAAGAAGAAGAAGAACGAGAGCTGCTGTTGGATACAGGCTGCGAGTCAGAAGAAGAAGATGAAGAGCATGGAGACTATAACAGTACTGAAGACCGATGCGAAGTCGAGTCATGGAGCAAGATAGAAGAACATTGCTTCTTGAGGCAGCAGCAACTTGTTCAAGGAATATTGTGCAGAGATCCTCCTCCCTTGATGTGCAATTCGCCAGTTTCATTTTCTGACAGTAAAGTGGACAGTTCTGGTTTAAGCACAAGTGAAGACGGAGACGAGTCTAGAGCAAGTAGTTAAGTCATTTAGTTGATTATTTTTTCTCCCTTGCGTGACTCACAAACTATACTGTTTCTCGTGGACTAGCCACGGACATCATTGTAAATTGGGTAATGATACCTACCCTCATCTGCTTGCTTGTGTGACTGCCCATTCTGATCCTGCCTGCGAATGGAGGAGGTTCAGTTTAATTTGGGGCTGAACTTTGGATGCTTAATCTTCATCTGCTTTTCAGTAACCAAGGATATCAATGTTCAAAAATGGACAAGGATTTTATTGGCTAGTGGACTGGTCTCTACACATCCCTTCAATTGCTTTACTCAGATCAAACCTCGTTACGTTGGTGGTGCATGTTACCCACGTATGATATGTTATATTCTCTATAGTGCTGTTTTGAATCCATTCATCATAGGTTGGGGGAACCCACCTCACCAGGGAATAAATTTTCAGTTTGAACGGCCCCTCACATGAATTTAAGCAACTCCAAACCAATGTTTTGATAACCGGACCCGAACACGTAAATTATACCGTACAACCGGCTGTAGCGGCAATTAAATCGGTGGAGAGGCACGCCGATGAAGGGGAAGCCGACAAAGGGGAGTAGGGGTGAGCAATTTAACCGAACCGACCGATTAACCGATACAATTTAACCGAACCGACCGTCATTTTAAATTCGGTTTCGGTTTTCGGTTTTAATGTCTAAAATATTCGGTTAATTCGGTTATCGGTTTCGGTTTCAGTTTTGGGCAATGTTAACCGAAACCGACCGAATAACCGAGCCCATTAAATGTATGGAGGGATTCTATAATTGGTTTTCGGGCTTTTATATATATAGATATATACATATATATATATATATATATATATATATATATATATATATATATATATATATATATATATATATAAGCCCAAACTAAATCTTTTAAATTATAGCCCACTTTAAAAAAACCCAATTCTCATTTTTGCTGTCTGACCCAATCTCAAAATCCTAAGTCCCAACCCCGTCTCCCCCAAATCGGCAAGTTCCAGTTCCCAAATCGGCAATCACCGTCTCCCGGCAATCACCATCTCTCGGTCTTCACCAATCGACAATCACCATCCACTGGTTCTGGTGTTCCCAAACCGACGCCAAGATCTAATCGGCAATCACCATCTCCGTTTCTGCTTCACCCATCAGCAATCACCAAGTTTGTTCATTCTTTTTTGTTGCTAATTATTATTCTTTTAGATGCATTACTCCCATGTTTTATGTTTAAGCCTTCTATGTTTGTGGACAGATTTTCTTGCTATTACTTTGCTTTAATAATTTGAGAAATGCTTCATTATTTGCAGTAGGCATTAGGTTTTGAGAATGAAAAGTTCGGTTTTTTCAAACAAACCGACCGATCGGTTTTTTCTCGGTTCGTTTTTTCGGTTCTAGCTTAAATTCGGTTCGGTTCGGTCGGTTATTATGAGTCCTTTTAATTTTCGGTTATTTCGGCTTTGGGCCGAAACCGGCCGAACCGATCCGATGCTCTCCCCTAAAGGGGAGGATGGATATTGGATGACAGGCAGCAATCGACGAGTGGTGAAGGTTGTGGCGGCGATGACGGCGGCTAGACAATCCTAGCCGACATCTCTTCTGTAGAAGATGGAGATTGTCCCCCTCCTCGATGTGGTACAAGCTGGTAGCACTGGCATAGATCGAATATGGAGGATATGAAGAGTAGGCGGCGGTGGCGTTCGGTCCAAGAAAAAACAGAGATGGCTCCTGGTAGGTCAAGAAGAACTCATATTTTATGGATAATAAGTTGCTTTTGAATGACTACTACGTTGGTTATAATGAACACTATTGTTTGAGAACGAACACTAAATTATTTATAAATGAATATTATAATTGTAATGAAGATATGTGTGAAAATGAACACTACGTTGTTTCAGAATGAGTATTATGTTAATTTAAAATGAACACCACATTTTTTCCCAAATGAATACTCTTTTATTTTAAAATGAAAAATTATGCTTTGTGCGAAAATGAGTACTACTATACTCCTAAATAAGTACTACTTGTCTGCATCATAGTTTGTGTATAGCCGGTTGTACAATATATATAGGCACTCTAGATTTTAGAATAGTTTATTAATTTATTATTATATTATAAATTGTATTCATTTATTTATTGATTTGTAGTGTCTAATTCGTTCATAACTTTATATGCACAAGTCCATACTCGCCAACTAATATGTCGTTGGTCGTTTTTTTTATAAAATCTACCCAATGATACTAATATTGGATACTCCCTCTGTCCCATTTTAAATTGTTTGTTTGACTTTTTTCTCCGTCCACAAATAAGTTGCCTGTTACTTGTTATCGTAAACTTTTAAGAGTAAAATACCTAAACTACCCCTAAAATAATTCACTCTTCTCACCCTTATCTTCTCATTCATCATCACCCTTCCTAAAAACTAATGGCAATTTTAGAAAATCAACTCTATTTTTTCTCTTACTTAAATATGCCTAAAAGTTAAAAAAGGTGATTTAAAACGGGACGGAGGAAGTATATAATTTTGAGGTTATGACTTACTTAAATTTTTATGACAGAAAAAAGAGGAATAATGCACATTTCTCCCAACATTCCCAGGTAAGGTTCTAATAATCGCCTTCTTGGAACGAGATATCCAAAACTATAATAATGGTATATTAAAAAGTTTGTGCTCACTATTTTATTTATTTTCTCACTTCAGGTCTATCTCAACTATTAATAAATTATTTTTAATTATTTAATACTGATACGCTCGTAAAAAATAAATTCTTCTTATTTATTTATTAAAACAACTCATGTCTTGGATCACATTCAGATAATAAAATTCATACTCACTCTGTCCCATTTCAAATTGCCTTTTTTCTTTTTTTGTTACTCCTAAATAAGTTACATATTTTTTATAATAATAAACTTCGAAGATTTAAAATACATAAATTACCCCTAAAATAAGTCACTCCTCTCCACTTTGTCTTTTCATTCATCACTACCCCCATAAAAAAGCAAGGCATTTGTAAAAAAATCAATACCATTTTTTTCCTTCCTTAAATATGCCCACAATGGCAATATAAAATGGGACGGAGGGAGTACTTAATAGGTATCTATTTAAGATAATTAATTCCAACATAAATAAAATTTATTTATTTAAAAATAACGGCAAACTACTTCCTTAAATATGCCCACAATGGCAATATAAAATGGGACGGAGGGAGTACTTAATAGGTATCTATTTAAGATAATTAATTCCAACATAAATAAAATTTATTTATTTAAAAATAACGGCAAACTACTAAAGCGATTTTTAGGCGTTACATACTTTGCAAGGCATTAAAGAAAATCCAAAACTCAAAAAATTCACCTTGTTTTTTAAGTTTTTCAATGAAAAACAAGTAATTAAAATATATATTCCCCAAAACCATCAATATCATTCCTTTCCATTCATCCCACCATCGGTTCCTCAGATTTCTTCAAGAATTGTGAGCTCTTCATCCTCATCATTGTTGTTTTCATTATCAACCTCTACAAAAATTTATTTTCAATTCAATTTATTTGAATATATGGGTAAAATTTTACGGAGTAATATAAAATTTATGTAGTAATAAACTACGTGAAAATTTCTACAAAACTAGAGGTGACAACACTATATTATTTTATGAAATGAGTGTTGAAAACAAACAAACAAAGAGAGTTAAGTTTGACCCTGTGAATAGTGTCTGGAAAGATCTATGGTGGACAGAGAGAGTACAAGATAAAGATACATGGAGAATGAATATCTAAATTAAAAATGAGTGAGAAAATAAATGAATCGTTACGAGTTAAAAATATACGAGTAACTCTAGAATCTGATGGTTTAATCTCTTCAAGCAAACAACAACAACAACATCTCAGTTGAATCCCACTATAGTAAGATCTGGGGAGGGTGTGTGTACGCAGACATTGCCCCTACTCGGAAGTAGGGAGGCTGTTTCCAAGGTTTAATCTCTTCAAGCATCTCCTCCAATTTATCAAAATTAAGTTCTCCTTCTTGCTCTTTCTCTACAATATTAATATAAAACTCATTTTTGTCAATCAATTCATAATCAATTGAGGCATATGATCTCTTCAAATCGTCAAGTGTTTGAGTTAAATACAATACGGAGTATTAAATAAAGTGATGATTTGTATACATTTTGTATATTGAATAATAAATTTTTATGAAACATACCTATTCTACAATTGTAGGTTATAATGAACATACACAAGATTATTAGATCGTTACGTTGATGCTCTAAAAAATTTCTCTTTTTGGTATGGATTTGTTCTAAACCACTACAGTTTCTCTCACAACCAAGAGAAGAAGTTGTTTGGCCAAGAATTTGAATTGCCAAGTCTTTCAAATTCGAAGCATCACCAAATCACCATCAAACATTCTCCACTACTACACTATTGTAATCCTTTATATATTATATTTGGGAGTTTAACTCCCAGAATTTTGACATTTGTCATGCTGACGGGGATTTTTTTTGACACTTCATAAGTCATGTCATCATATTAGACTTACTCAATATTTCAAACGGGTTAGATAATGATTCATTATTTTGGGCTTCTTTTATTTGGGCTACTTTGTGTGGAATTCATCCACAAGTCTGAATGAAGCGAGACATCAGCGGCACTTTCCTTCGATTGCACCTCCCTGCGATATTCATCTTCGAATGGCTCCACCGCGAGATATCAGAGAATATGTGATTGGAATTAATCTCTTTCCTTTTCACGGTCCTTCTTCACGGAGATTCCAACGATCGGTACCAAGAATAGGTAACTTTCCCCTTTCTTAAAAAATCATAATTGTTTTTGGGATGATTGGCCTTCTTTCCTTCTTATGATGATTAGTCTCTGCGAAATTTGTTCTTCTTTCGAATTTTTCGGTTCAAATCTCTGGATTTTCTACCCTTATTGCTGTAAGTTTCCTTGCGATTTATATTAGGTCATATATAAATCAAATTTTAAGTAAGCCATTTCATCAATCTATTTTTTCATTGCAAGCCGCATTCATACCTAAAATCTCTGATTAATTGACATGTCTTCGAAACCAATTCACCCTTTGTTGAAGATTAATCTATCAAGTGAATGCTGGAGAGTTTGTTTCGTGTGATTCGACTGTACAAGATGCCAGTGTATAATGATGAGAAGATGACGAATTCGATTGAGATGATATTCATGGACGAACATGTAAGAATTGTACTCTTATTCGTATTTTGCATACAATATAAAATTTATGTTTAATAAGATTTCTTATAATTTTTTAGTGGCTGGAAGGTTATTTTGCTTTTACTTTCAAAACACAATTATACTAATCTGAATAAAAAACCAAAATTCTTCAATTGCCCATATTGAATAAATAAATGAAGAATCGGTTTGGAAGTAAAAGATTCTTGCAGTTTCTCCATCCCCTAAGTACTGAAAAACTAATAAAAAAAATGGCCTCTTTACTTTTAATAGTCTATTAAAGTTGAAGTTTCTCCAGTGTTTAAAAACATTAGACTCTAGGACTTTTTATATTGCTTAAACATTGTTCATAATCTCTACAAAAAAAATTTAAAAGAGCCTAAAAACATTACACTATAATTGAGGAGAGTAATCATGCTTAAAGATATTTTCTAGAATTTCAAAAAAGTAAAATATCTCCTAATTCCAGCTTACCTCCCATAATTGAGGAGAGTAATCATGCTTTACTTTTAATATTATCCGTTACCTTTTTAAAATATACATCAAATCTACATATTTATGCCATAGTTATAAATCTATAAATAATGGAGTTAGTATTTGACAATATTCATACCAAATACAAAAACTACTCATTTATCCTATTTTTTACTTCCTCCGTCCCAAAAAGATTTATACCTTTAAAAAAAATTGCTTCCCACAATCTCTTACCTATTTCATAATTTTTTGGTGAAAATGGGGAATGAAAAAGTTTGGGATGGATAGTGTAGTATGGAAAAAGGATTATTAGATGTGTAGTGTAGGATGAAAATGGGTAGTGTAGTTCCCATAAAAACCTTTCAGTTGTGTTTTAATAGGGAGGGAATTAAAGTTGAAATCAGTTTTACCCATTGTGAAATACCCTGCCTCCCTGTATTCGTTTCATATTTTTATTAAAATTGTGATTAATTAGTTCTTCAACACTATCTGTCATAAGTTAGTTATTATATTGTGCTCAAAGTCGTAATTTTTTTAGTATAATAATAATTATATAAATGCAATTACTATTAAATAATAATCTTTGATATTAATCATTATATTCATAAATGGTACAAACTTTATTTATATTAACAAAAATAAGAAATTCTAAGAAAACTGTTAATGGATAAAATATAACAATGTTTAATATAATTTCTAGGGAAAAGAAATAAATAATACTCCCTCCGTTCCACAAAACCCTTCCGGTTTTGACTTTGGGAGAAAATAAGAAAAGTGTAATTTTGGTTGACTTTCCAATTGTGCCCCTGATGTGATGGGAAAAAGTAAGATGTGATAGTTTGGTTATTAGTGAAAAAGTATGATGTGATAGGTAGGGTATGAAAAAGTAGGGGTAAAAGTAGTTTTTTAATTGAAAGTGGAAGTGTTTTGTGGAAAGCAAAAAAAACGAAAGAGTAAGGGTTTTGTGGAACGGAGGGAGTACATGTTCTGGAATGCAATTTTTAAAACATAACATATGCCTTATTTATATTCAAAGAAAAACAAGTGATATAAGATTTTCATGTACAACTAAAATTTTAACATCTTGGTCGTTAATCTTTTTTTTCTAATACTTAAACAATCTTGAAAAATTGATGTAAAAACATTAATGAAAATTATTTCAAAGAAAAATAAATGAAGAAGATATTTTATTTTCAAGAACACATGCCAAAATACAAGCTTTGGATTTTTTGCGTGTTCATAGTAATGAAGAAATTTGGATAACCAAGTCTTCTACCAGCGATAAAAGGTTTTTATGCACACCTAAAATTTTAACAGCTTTGTCATTGATATTCTTTTTCTAATACTTATACATTCTTTGAAAAAAATGATATATGGTCTATTTGGGAATAGCTTTAGCGATTAGCGTTAGTATTTTGAAAAGGCTATCTACGAGCAGCGTTTAGCGTTAGCGTTTTCAAAGTAATCCGCACCGTTAAAATTTTATCTAAAACGCTAACGCTAATCTCTAAATCCGCACCGTTTAAATTTTATTTAAAATTTAATGATATTTTCGTGATTTTCATAGAGAATTAAATTTCCCCCTAATCTTTATTACTTTCCATAATTGTGGAGACTATTCATGTTTTACTTATAATATCACGAGTTACCTTTTTAGGGAATACATCACATCTATATATTTATCGCCAGAATGGGTAATTACTATTTCCTCCGTTCCACAAAACCCTTCCTCTTTCGTTTTTTTTGCATTCCACAAAACACTTCTACTTTCTATTAAAAAACCAGTTTTTCCCCTACTTTTTCATACCCTACCTATCACATCATACTTTTTCACTAATAACCAGACTATCATATCTTACTTTTTCCCATCACATCAGGGGCAAAATTGGAAAGACAACCAAAATTACACTTTCCTTATTTTTTCCCAAAGTCAAAACCGGAAGGGTTTTGTGGAACGGAGGGAGTATTTATTGGAGAATATACGATGAAATATACAATGAATATACGATGAATGAAGATCAGTGGAAGATATACGATGAAATAATGGAAGTTGTGACTGCTGGAAAAGGAGGATTCTTTTTTGTGTATGGTTGCGGTGGAACTGGAAAAACATTTTTTTGGAAATCATTGTCTGCTTCTCTAAGATCAAGTGGTAAAGTTGTCTTGAATGTTGCATCCAGTGGGATTGCAGCATTGCTTTTGCCTGGGGGAAGAACAGCAAACTTTAGATTTTCAATTCCTTTGGCGCTAACAGAGTGCTCAACGTGTGCCATCAAACAAGGGAGCCCAAAAGCAGAACTAATTCAACAGGAAAATTTAATCATATGGGATGAAGCATGTATGATGAACACGATGAGAGATCTCATGAAGTTCTCTAATCCAAACTCAATAAATGAACCATTTGGAGGGAAAACAGTTGTACTCGGAGGTGATTTCAGACAAATTCTTCCTGTTTTACCCAGAGCTTTGAGAGAGGAAATTGTAGGTGCTATAATTAATTCTTCAAATTTGTGGTCTTATTGTAAAGTTTTTAAGTTGACGAAGAATATGAGATTGCATTCATCAACGTCCTCTTGCATAGATAGAGACATGCAAGATTTTTCTGATTGGATAATCAAAGTTGGAGATGGAAAGCTTGGACAAGTGATTGATGGAACTGCTGACGTTGAAATTCCTCTCGAATTTTTGATTATAGATAACAGCACACCCCTCAAAAGTATAGTGGACTTTACTTATCCGAACTTATTGAAGAATATGAGAAGTTATTCTTTTTTTGAAGACAGTGCACTACTAGCACCCACACTCGAAGTTGTAGAAATAGTAAATGAATTTGTCTTATCCCTCATTCCCGGAGACGAAATGGTGTACTTGAGTTCTGATTCATCATGCCAAGCATATTCAGATGTAGGTGTTGATGGCGACTGGATAACAGTTGAGTTTTTGAATGAAATCAAATGTTCGGGAATCCCAAACCACATGATAGTTTTAAAAAAAGGGTACCAATTATGTTACTGAGGAACATTGACCAAACATCTGGATTGTGTAATGGTACAAGATTAATTGTTGACGAGATGCGAAAGAACGTTATTGGTGCTATTGTGGTTTTGGGAAATCGAGTGGGTGAAAAAGTTTACATACTTCGGATGAATTTGGTTCTGTCTGATCCAGGACTACCTCTAAAGTTCTAGAGAAGACAATTTCCAATAGTCTTATGTTTTGCTATGACTATAAACAAAAGTCAAGGTCAAACATTGTCATTTGTTGGATTATTTTTTACCAAGTCAGTGTTCACTCATGGTCAGGTTTATGTTGCTGTTTCGCGAGTGAAGACAAAGATAGGATTAAAAATATTAGTCTTAGATGACAATGGAAATCCTTGCAGCCATACAAAAAATGTTGTATACCCTGAAATCTTTCAAAAAATTTGGTATTAAAGCATACTTTGTTGTGTGTAGACTCAATTCCTCAAATATTATTCTTTTTATTTTTCCTTTCTTTTCTGTATTATTATAAATCATGCATGAGGTATATTCCCTTTATTCCGGAAAAAAATATTGCATTGAATAAATTCAGAAATGACAAGATATTCGTCCGAACCCGTGCATTGCACGGGTAGGAATACTAGTAGTGTAAATATAGAAAAGTATAGAGTTAAAAGTTAAAATACAATGTTTCAAAAATACAATGTGGGGTTGGAGTTTCGGCCATATGTGGGGAAAGGGAGGTGACCCATTGGTTGGTTTTTAGATAATGTATCCAGCCCTAAAAGAGGCGTGTGATGGGAGGTTGTTTGGCTGAATATGGGAGGTATTATATTGGTGTTTGGGGAGGAGTATACTCGGCCAGCTGAGGGGACAAAAGCGGATGGAGTGTGGTGTAACACCCGCCTTCCGGGGACCTGGTTCACCCGCGACCCAACGGACTGGTAGGGTTACATGGGCGGTCTGAAAACCGTCCATAAAGTAAAGAACTTTAATGTCCATTTATTTTGGAAACGGTTGTGATTAATTGGTGTAATAAATGCTAGGAGTTATTCCCAAAACGTGAGTGATATAAATGCAGAGTAAAAGCGGAAGTAAATAAATAAGTAAAACGACAAATAGTGGGTTCATGCCTAAATGATTAATTAATTCAGATGATTACAATTATTAAAACTCGTCCGTGCGCTGCCCATCTTCCCACAATCACTGTCCTTCAGGGTTAACACCTGTACCGTCATGTCTACCTGCGTGTAGCAAAAACAACTACACGCTCAGCAAAAGCTGAGAAGTGAATCTAACAAAAGAACATGAAGTGATAACCCATATGATTATACACATATTAATACCTGTACTTTAACGTACGGAAAACCACATGTTTACTAACTGATTAATTAGCACTTGACGGGATATTTTTAAACATAACAAAATGAATAACAACCACATTGAATGTTGATGTGACGTGGAACATACATGATGATGACGACCACATTGAATGTTGACATGACATGGAACACACATGATGACGATATGACTTGATGCATGACTTAACTATCAGGGATCAGGGACACCCTTGGCTTAATCTCACTTGACAGGATCACCCCTGCACTCTGGTAATGAGCCGGGCTCGACGAAAATGTCGCAAGTGAACTAGCAAAACTGGGTAGTAGCCGTAACCTGACTACTATGTACGTACACAAAGCCCACCTGATGAAAACCCGTTGGATCACAAAGGTTCCTGGACGGGCCCACTGTAGTAGGCGCACGAAAGCCTAACCTCCCTATAGCGGTATGCACATGATGAAAAACCTAGGACATGCGTCTAGAATGGACATGATGAATGCTTGATATATTTACCTTTGGTCAACGCCAAGAATATATCAATTAAATAACATATATAATGAGAATTAACATTTCATGCAAACATACAACCAGATTCTGTGTCAATATGGTAAACGGGGCTCGTTCTACAAACTGCCCGGAATTCTGCCCGCGGAACGGTCGACCGTGACCTACCGGCGGTCGACCGTGGGCTATGGTCTAGGTCTCAAACGGTCCACCGTGGTCTTCCGTCATGGCTGACGGTCGACCGTCCCGTCGGTGACCGCTGGACTGGCCAAGGGTACGGTCCACCGTCTGAAGTAATGGTCGACCGTCCCGGTGACAGTCTTCTGTCCTTGGCTGCGTTTTGATCCATTTTGCAAACTTAACACCTTGATTCTTTTTATAAAAATAATGTAAACATTGATGAATATATTCCTAGTGATTCCTAGGCCAATATATACGAATTTTACGTAGTAAACGTTTTGATGGCTAACCTACGAACATGCATAGATTCTTCGTAGGTTGCGTACGATATTCCTATGAATATAACGACATAGATTATAACTAAATGTTGTAGAAGTAGAGGGGACAACTACTCACCTCTAAATGATGTGTTGAAACCACGATAGGACGAGATGAGCGAATGGATGACGATGATCAAACAAATGAATGAACGGTTCAACGACGAATAATGTACGGCTTCTCGTGTGAAAGTCTCCTCTTCTACCTCCCCGTCTACTTGCCGGAAAAACCTTTTGGAGCAGCTATGGCCTGACCGAAAATGCAAGGGAATTTAATGACATGTTCAAATAATTTTTCTAAGAACTTTATTTTCAAACTTCCGGGTCCACCCCAATAATTAATTAATTCATTTAATTATTGTTGAGAGGTCCGTTATTAAAACATCTTTTTATATTAACATACATTAGCTTTGAAAAGCCATTTAAAGAGATCGAAATCTCAATATTTATTAATTTAAAATAATGAGTCTTAATAAATAAATAATATTTATTTATTTAAAACTAGGCCAGTTTGAGGGCATTACAATTATCTCCCACTTAAAGGAATTTCGTCCCCGAAATTCTCTCCTAGTCGCACCTCACGTGTTTAGGGAGATAGTGCGTTATCCCAAACTTTGTTTTGTGAAGCATACGATGCCATAATAGATTAAAAACCCATTGACAAATGAGCGTATAACGCAATTAGTATGACGCTTCGATGTGTGCTCACGTGCTCAGGCTTCCCCTGTGGGACAGCCTGTCCATCGTTGCCTGTTGCTTGGCTCATTCTCTATAAGAAGAGTTTAAATCAGAACTAATTACAATATGACATATAAATGAATAAAATAACGGTGTACCTTTCCCTGGGAGTAATGTGATGGGAGATGCGGTTGTGCATTTTTTGAAAATACCCTTTGACCAAGATGACAAAATATTTTTTTTTCTTCACAAAACCGAACTTCTGTGATACCAAATTGTAACACCCGCCTTCCAGAGACCCGGTTCACCCGTGACCCAACGGACTGGTAGGGTTACATGGGCGGTCCGAGAACCGTCCGTAAAGTAAAGAACTTTAATTTTCATTTATTTTGGAAACGGTTGTGATTAATTGGTGTAATAAATGGTAGGAGTTATTCCCAAAACGTGAGTGATATAAATGCAGAGTAAAAGCGGAAGTAAATAAATAAGTAAAACGACAAATGGTGGGTTCATGCCTAAATGATTAATTAATTCAGATGATTATAATTATTAAAACTCATCCGTGCGCCACCCATCTTCCCACCATCACTGTCCTTCAGGGTTAGCACCTGTACCGTCATGTCTACCTGCGTGTAGCAAAAACAACTACACGCTCAGCAAAAGCTGAGAAGTGAATCTAAATAAAGAACATGAAGTGATAACCCATATGATTATACACATATTAATACCTGTACTTTAACGTACGGAAAACCACATGTTTACTAACTGATTAATTCGCACTTGATGGGATATTTTTAAACATAACAAAATGAATAACAACCACATTGAATGTTGATGTGACGTGGAACATACATGATGATGACGACCACATTGAATGTTGACATGACATGGAACACACATGATGACGATATGACTTGATGCATGACTTAACTATCAGGGACACCCCTGGCTTAGTCCCACTTGATAGGATCACCCCTGCACTCCGGTAATGAGCCGGGCTCGACGAAAATGTCGCAAGTGAACTAGCAAAACTGGGTAGTAGCCGTAACCTTACTACTATGTACGTACACAAAGCCCACTTGATGAAAACCCGTTTGATCCCAATGGTTCCTGGACAAGCCCACTGTAGTAGGCGCACGAAAGCCTGACCTCCCTACAGCGGTATGCACATGATGAAAAACCTAGGACATGCGTCTAGAATGGACATCATGAATGCTTGATGTATTTACCTTTGGTCAACGCCAAGAATATATCAATTAAATAACATATATAACGAGAATTAACATTCCATGCAAACATACAACCAGATTCTGTGTCAATATGGTCAACGGGGCTCGTTCTACAAACTGCCCGGAATTCTGCCCGCGGAATGGTCGATTGTGACCTACCGGCGGTCGACCGTGGGCTATGGTCTGGGTCCGGGTCTCAAACGGTCCACCGTGGTCTTCCGTCATGGCTGACAGTCGACCGTCCCGGCGGTGACCGCTGGACTGGCCGAGGGTACGGTCCACCGTCTGAAGTAACGGTCCACCGTCCCGGTGACAGTCTTCTGTCCTTGGCTGCGTTTTGATCCATTTTGCAAACTTAACACCTTGATTCTTTTTAGAACAATAATGTAAACATTGATGAATATATTCCTAGTGATTCCTAACCAATATATACGAATTTTACGTAGTAAACGTTTTGACGTCTAACCTACGAACATGCATAGATTCTTCGTAGGTTGCGTACGATATTCCTATGAATATAACGACATAGATTATAACTAAATCTTTTAGAATTAGAGGGGACAACTACTCACCTCTAAATGATGTGTTGAAACCACGATAGGACGAGATGAGCGAATGGATGACGATGAACGAACAAATGAATGAACAGTTGAACGACGAATAACGTACGGCTTCTCGTGTGAACCTCTTCTCTTCTACCTCCCCGTCTACTTTCCGGAAAACCTTTTGGAGCTGCTATGGCCTGATCGAAAATGCAAGGGAAAGGGAAGAGATGGGTGTTATGGTTTAGGGAGGTTACACATGATGAGAGAAATGAAGGGGAAGAGGAATTTATATTTAAAAGAATTGATGGAGGAATAATGGGGTATTAAAAGTGGTATTGAGTGGGGGGGGGGGTTATGGGAGAGGAAAGGGTGTGTGGCGTGAGTATTGAGGTGGAATTAAATGGGGAGTTATCTCCCTAAACTCTACTCTGTTGTGTAGAATCTGACCCAAACAGTACACGGTTTTTCCCCCGAATGGGTCCGAATTGAGATCCGGTTGTGTTTCCGGAATCAGACAGTCAAAACGAATTTAATGACATGTTCAAATAATTTTTCTAAAAACTTTATTTTCAAACTTTCGGGTCCACCCCAATCATTCATTAATTTATTTAATTATTGTTGAGAGGTCCGTTATTAAAACATCTTTTTATATTAACATACATTAGCTTTGAAAAGCCGTTTAAAGAGATCGAAATCTCAATATTTTTTAATTTAAAATAATGAGTCTTAATAAATAAATAATATTTATTTATTTAAAACTAGGCCAGTTTGAGGGCGTTACAATTATCTCCCCCTTAAAGGAATTTCGTCCCCGAAATTCTCTCGTAGTCGCACCTCACGTGTTTAGGGAGATAGTGCGTTATCCAAAACTTTGTTTTGTGAAGCATACGAGGCCATAATAGATTAAAAACCCATTGACAAATGAGCGTATAGCGCAATTAGTATGACGCTTTGATGTTTGCTCACGTGCTCAAGCTTCCCTTGTGGGACAGCCTGTCCATCGTTGCATGCTGCTTGGCTCATTCTCTATAAGAAGAGAGCTTAGATCAGAACTAATTACAATATGACATATATATGAATAAAATAACGTTGTACTTTTCCCTGGGAGTAATGTGATGGGAGATGCGGCTGTGGACTTTTTGAAAATACCCTTTGACCAAGATGACAAAATATTTTTTTTTTCTTCACAAAACCGAACTTCTCTGATACCAAATTGTAAAACCCGCCTTCCGGGGACCCGGTTCACCCGCGACCCAACGGACTGGTAGGGTTACATGGGCGGTCCGAGAACCGTCCGTAAAGTAAAGAACTTTAATGTCCATTTATTTTGGAAACGGTTGTGATTAATTGGTGCAATAAATGGTAGAAGTTGTTCCCAAAACATGAGTGATATAAATGCAGAGTAAAAGCGGAAGTAAATAAATAAGTAAAACGACAAATGGTGGGTTCATGCCTAAATGATTAATTAATTCAGATGATTATAATTATTAAAACTCGTCCGTGCACCGCCCATCTTCCCACCATCACTGTCCTCCAGGGTTAGCACCTGTACCGTCATGTCTACCTGCGTGTAGCAAAAACAACTACACGCTCAGCAAAAGCTGAGGAGTGAATCTAACAAAAGAATATGAAGTGATAACCCATATGATTATACACATATTAATACCTGTACTTTAACGTACGGAAAACCACATGTTTACTAAAACTGGGTAGTAGCCGTAACCTGACTACTATGTACGTACACAAAGCCCACCTGATAAAAACCCGTTTGATCCCAATGGTTCCTGGACGGGCCCATTGTAGTAGGCGCACGAAAGCCTAACCTCCCTACAGCGGTATGCACATGATGAAAAACCTAGGACATGCGTCTAGAATGGACATGATGAATGCTTGATATATTTACCTTTGGTCAATGCCAAGAATATATCAATTAAATAACATATATAGTGAGAATTAACATTTCATGCAAACATACAACCAGATTTTGTGTCAATATGGTCAACGGGGATCGTTCTACAAACTGCCCGAAATTCTGCCTGCGGAACGGTTGACAATGACCTACCGGCGGTCGACCGTGGGCTATGGTCTGGGTCTGGGTCTCAAACGGTCCACCGTGGTCTTCCGTCATGGCTGACGGTCGACCGTCCCGGTGGTGACCGCTGGACTGGCCGAGGGTACGGTCCACCGTCTGAAGTAACGGTCGACCGTCACGGTGACAGTCTTCTGTCCTTGGCTGCGTTTTGATCCATTTTGCAAACTTAACACCTTGATTCCTTTTAGAACAATAATGTAAACATTGATGAATGTATTCCTAGTGATTCCTAGGCCAATATATACGAATTTTACGTAGTAAACGTTTTGATGGCTAACCTACGAACGTGCATAGATTCTTCGTAGGTTGCGTACGATATTCCTATGAATATAACGACATAGATTATAACTAAATGTTCTAAAATTAGAGGGGACAACTACTCACCTCTAAATGATGTGTTGAAACCACGATAGGACGAGTTGAGCGAATGGATGACGATGAACGAACAAATGAATGAACGGTTGAACGACGAATAACGTACGGCTTCTCGTGTGAACCTCTCCTCTTCTATCTCCCCGTCTACTTTCCGGAAAACCTTTTGGAGCTGCTATGGCCTGACCGAAAATGCAAGGGAAAGGGAAGAGATGGGTGTTATGGCTTGGGGAGGTTACACATGATGAGAGAAATGAAAGGGAAGAGGAATTTATATTTAAAAGAATTGATGGAGGAATAATGGGGTATTAAAAGTGGTATTGAGTGGGGGGGGGGGGGGTTATGGGAGAGGAAAGGGTGTGTGGCGTGAGTATTGAGATGGAATTAAATGCGGAGTTATCTCCCTATACTCTACTCTGTTGTGTAGAATCTGACCCAAACAGTACACGGTTTTTCCCCTGAATGGGTCCGAATTGAGATCCGGTTGTGTTTCCGGAATCAGACAGTCAAAACGAATTTAAAGAGATCGAAATCTCAATATTTATTAATTTAAAATAATGAGTCTTAATAAATAAATAATATTTATTTATTTAAAACTAGGCCAGTTTTAGGGCGTTACAACTATATCCCCCTTAAAGGAATTTCATCCCCGAAATTCTCTCTTAGTCGCACCTCACATGTTTAGGGAGATAGTGCGTTATCCAAAACTTTGTTTTGTGAAGCATACGAGGCCATAATAGATTAAAAACCCATTGACAAATGAGCGTATAACGCAATTAGTATGACGCTTCGATGTGTGCTCACGTGCTCAAGCTTCCCCTGTGGGACAGCCTGTCCATCATTGCCTACTGCTTGGCTCATTCTCTATAAGAATAGCTTAAATCAGAACTAATTACAATATGACATATAAATGAATAAAATAACGGTGTACCTTTCCCTGAGAGTAATGTGATGGGAGATGCGGCTGTGGACTTTTTGAAAATACCCTTTGACCAAGATGACAAAATATTTTTTTTCTTCACAAAACAGAACTTCTCTGATACCAAATTATAACACCCGCCTTCCGGGGACCCGGTTCACCCGCGACCCAACAGACTGGTAGGAT